CAATACAAATAGTAACGAAACATGACTACTCGTTAGTCACGAGTAGTATAGTGTAATGTAATGTAATGCAATGTCCTTGTACATGTCCTTGTTATGTAGTGCAGTGTCCTTGTACATGGCTGAGTCTGGGTTGGTCCAAATAGTAATAAAACATAACTACTCCTTAATCAAGAGTAGTATGGTGTAATGCTGTGTATATCTGACTATAAGGACATCTAAAATCACCAGTAGTCATTGCCTGCCTAATGCGGTTTTTGCAGGCGGCTGAAAAGAGGTGCAGCATTCAAAAGCCAACCTTCTGGCCCGTCTCAAATATTATGTGACTATGCCGAACGATAGCGAATATTACAACTACGCTGCAGTAATCCTTCCTAATCGAAGCCGAATTTTGGGAATTTTGATTGAGTTTTCTGGAGCCTGGTCCCTGACTGTACCTGTCTGCTACAGGCCTCACACGACTGGGTGAGTCGGTGTAGTGTGCTAATTGTGGATGGCACTTCCCTAACCTGAGTGATTGGTTCTGGCAATAGCAGTTACGCTTATTCATTGTGAGTCCTAGCTTCGTCCTTATTGCGTGAGACTTGATGGTCTCCGATAAAAGTTAACGGAGATCGACACACTCCGGTTGTTGGGACAACTTCACCTATACTGGGGTTTCCACTGTTGGTAGTAGGTTGTCATGTCTACATTAAGGTGGATACGTAGATTTTTATGCTAACGACTTCGACTTCCGAGTTTGTGGAGGAAAAGTGATGAAAGTAGTCCTGTATCCGTTTGAGATGCTCCAACCTTTCTTGATTGTCTCTTTATCTTTACTTCCCGTATTCTGTTGACTTTCATGATATATCCATTTTATGCTATCTCGTCACGCCTGCCGGTGTTTTACAAGAACTCCCTAAAACTCGAATGCTTTGAAGATACCTTCGTGTCATTTTGTTTGTCCATTTTGTCTACTGGTAGCCACGACGGTCTTAACACTTACACCGATCACAACGTGGCCTTGTCATCGAAGTTGAGCATACCAGTCGTTTTCGGGCAATAGATATTCGGCATCTTTTGAGTGAACCTATTTTTCTATTCCCTTTGAAGACGACATGGGAAAAATTAGTGGGCTTTCGCGCTTGGCTTCGATAGAATGTGCAGATCACTTCCTACCATAGGGTAGCGTTATCAGAATGATCTTAATTTGCGAAATTTAGTGCCCAAAAGTGTACCACAGCGATTCCAGACTGAGTATTGCAGCCTGCTCGC